ATACTGTGAACTTCCTGAGGGCAGAAACAATGCCATATTCTTCCTAGTGTTGCCATACTTGGCACTCGATAAATATTTGCTGGATTGAATTTAAAAGCCTGTGAGATCTTTGGGGACAAGTACTATATCTTTTTCAAACTGGTTTTTCCTACAACACCAAGCAGCAAGTGTTATACATGCTTAGAACAAAAAAACTGTTTCTTTTTTGAATAGTTTTTACACTAGATATGAAGTGTGAAGTTCCCTAATTAAGCCAATTAGAGAGCCCTTAGCAGAGGGAGGGTGTGGGTAAGGGGTAGTGAGGAACTCCTGCTTTTCCTGAAATGTTTGACATTTTTTTTACAACAAGAATTTATGCATATGTAACTAGTATGGTTATAAAATTAAGATTTATAAACTTTAAAAGTACCACCAAGGTAACATTGGTAATTTTCAAAATTGACAAAAATATATGTCTACCACTCATATGAAAATGTTCAAAGCAGTATTATCCATAATAACTAAAAACTGGAGATAACCCGTGTCCATCAAATAGTGAATAGAAAACAAAATATTATCTATCTATACTATGAAATATTATTTATCAACAAAAAGGAATAAAGGAATGATTCATGCTATAACATGGATGAAACTCAAAAACATTACTCTGAGAGAAAAAAAGCCAGACACAAAAGACTTCATAGTATATGATTACATCTACATGAAAAGGAAAATTTAAAAGTCTGAAAGTAGATTAGTAAACGTCTGGGCCTGGTGGATGGGAACAAGAGTGAGTATATACAGGCATAAGAGATCATTTGGGGTGATGGAAATGTTCAAAAACTGGATTGTGATAATGGTTGCATGACTTTAAATCTACAAAAAAGCATTATATAATTCAAATGGCTGAACTTTATGGTATGTAAACTGTACTTCAATAAAACTGATTAAAAAAAATTAGGGGTGACTAGTTAGCTCAGATGGTTAGAACGTGGTGATAACACCAAGGTTGCTGGTTCAATCACTGCATGGACCACTGTGAGCTGTGCGCTCCCTAAAAGAGTCAACTATGCCATTGTAGAATGAAAGCAATGTGTAACCAATAACATGGCTGTTCCCCAATTTTAAAAAAAATTTTTTTAAGTAATTCAACTCATCATTTAAAATTCAAACATCACAGAAATGTGTAATATAGAAAATGATAAAGTGTGCCTCCCTTAACACATCCATTCACTGTTTAGTATATGTTCTTTCAGACTTTCTCCATGCATATCATTATACACACATGCACACACACATGCAAAATAATATTACATACACACACAATGTCACCATACTATACATAAATATTTGTACTAACTTGCTTGCTTGTTAAAATATCTTGCACAAGAAGGATGAGTTTATAATCAGAGATGTACTATGATCATCTCTATGCTTCAGAAATTAACCAAAGATAGAGAACCTGCAGGCGGAACAATTGGGAGGCTTGTACCCCCTGTGGGAACAAGCTGTGGGGTACGCCCTTGACCTCCCCGTCACCCCAGATGCAAGGGTAGGTCTACTTACACTCTGAGAGAGATCCATTGTGTTCCCGGCATTGCTGTAGTGATCCACCTCCAGAGCCACGATAATCCCAGACTTCATGAAGCCAACCTGGCAAAAAGGAGAGTAATTTCTCAACAGTCCTCTTCCTCTCTCAATCCCTAACTCTTCCTCCC